CATAACCATTACCTTTTACTATCTTAACATAACTTAAAAATATGTGTGTTGTTCCAGCACTTTAGTGCCTATCTGGTCACGCTCTAGTTGTAAAACCAACAATAAAAATAAATAAAATTATAAAAAATACAAGATGTACCAAAAAAAAAGGTAAAAGCAGACTACAGAAGACTTCAAAGGCTATTTCCATAGAATTTTCAAGCAGAAACATCTTCACACCTTTTGAGAAAGTGGAAAAAAAAATCACTCAAGTGAGAAAGCATTCCAGAGCTGAGGAACTGAGAGTCTCTGGATCCAACCTATGGTCCCTCCATTCTGTGAATGTGAGCAGACAGACTGAATCCATGTGGATTTTCATTATCATCAACAAACTTCACGCAGGCATGAAGGTTTGCCCACAGACATGAGGCTCTGGAGATGGTATTAAAGCAGGAAAAAAATACTGTAATGGGTAAAGTTCTTAGTTACCAGAAACCCTCTACATGTTACACCTTCCTTTATGCCTAGTGCCCACTTTCATATATATGTGTGTGTGTATACATATATCTACGTATGTGCTATGAATAATTCCTTCCCCTAGAATATTACATATCTTACTTTTAAAAGTGACAGACAAAGCTGTTTCTGTGACACTATTTGAGGATAATTAACACGGTTTCAACATTTTTGTCCTAATAATGAACCATTCACTGTTCTAATGTTGGACATTAGGGCTTTGATATTCTTCTCGTCTACAAGAATAGTTCTGTTTGAATTATCTCAGGTTGTGTGATGCTATGAGAAGAAGAGCTATCAGACTTAACAGACCATGATTCCACAGGTAATTCCAGCCCTGGCATAATTTAGAGCTCCTATAGGGCATCTCTGTGTTATGCCAAGTAATAAGAGCTCAGAGACTGCAGAAGCTTCAAGACAGAAAATGAAGTGCCAGTGTGCTCCAAATCCACCTCCAGTCCTCAGTGCCAGGAGATGCCATATCAGATGCTCAATACACAGTGGAATACCTGGATGGGTGAAGGGTTTTTTACAACATCTCAGTTATTCACCATACATGATTTATGGCACTTGTGTGCTGCCAAATAGGCCACAGAAGTTGCATCATAAAAGGGATTTTGCCCCATGTGCCTTGACAGCATGGCAAAGGATGAAAATGCTTCCAAATAACAAGACAGCTTCCATCCATATCAGTTCCCAGAAGCCAAATCAATAAGGGGGAGTATATCAACTCATAGGAAGGCAGAAATATGTTGACCATGTAGGTTTTAGAAGTAATGTTGTTGATGTATGAACAGAAAACGTACATGGAAACCTTCTTAACAACTTCACACAACAACTTCATTTTCTTATTTAACCAAGAATCCTGCAAAGTTTTAATAACAACTTCCTAGCTTTTTTTTCTTGAAATTGATTGTTAATATTTGAATTCACAAAAAGCCTTCCTTATGGTTCATACAAATGATTGTGTAAGCAAAGGTGTCAGCCACCTGAGAACATTGATGCTAATTCATATTTGGTGGTTTTATTACTCAGGAAGGAAATTCTGGACATCATCCAACAACTACTATCTTCTTTGTATGTAAACAGTGTAATTCTTGTGCCAGGAGTACCTGCATCTTCAAAGGAACAACATCTAGTGGGGGCTTATTCCAGCATTCTGTCTACAGAACATCTTCACTTCCTCTGCTCTGTGCTCCTTCTGTGCTGAACAGTATCATTAAAAGGACAAAACCTCAAAAGTCATAATATAAATGATTACTATTTTTCTCAGAAACTATAACTCAAAGGACTAAATATGACTTTGAAGGAAAGCAAGGGCTTTCATTTCTGTCTGAAGGACAGAAACAGTTTTTGTGGTCCTTCAGCCTGTTTGTATTTCTCATTTGCATCTGCACGAGGAAACTAGATTATCTTTTCAAACAAGCAATTCCAAGTAGCAAAAGCCTTAATTCAGTATGCTAAGAAAATAAAATTATTGTTCCTGAAGTTCACAGATAAATTACTTCCCAAACACATGGAAGAGGCAGTAATAAAAAAAACCAAACCCCAATACAATTTCTAGATCTCAGTATAATTTCTTCCAAAACAATCAATCTCTCATACACACAAGTAACTGACTCATAAAAAAAAAAATTAAGTATAAAATATATTGCAAATATGCATACACCTCTTTTTAACAGATTACATTACTTTCCATATACAAAGTCTTCAAGAAATTCATTAATGTAAGATACCAAAAAGTCAACTGTATACTTTCATCATTACTTATTTTAAATAAGAAACACAGCACAAGTGCTACATTCAGTATAATTTATACTTAAATGTTACATACACAGCAAAAGACATAACACTGAACTGTGTTTAATAAGTTTATTAATAATGATTAAAGAACTTAACAGTGTTCAATTCAGTGAATGACATTATCCCTTTGAAGAGCAGTCCCTAATAGGCCCTAATCCAAATAACCACTGGAATTAGCAGGAGGAAGATCACAGGTTTAAACAGACACTGAACCAAGCATTTGCTAATGTTCAGGAAAGATCCACATTCAGCAGACCTGTCTTGAGTCTTCACTGATGAAACAACTGAATAAAAAAGAAAAAAGGAAAAAAAAAAAGAAAATACTGCCACATCCTTAATTCACAATCCAGTAATTTGCAGCACTAGTGCTCAACTAGTGGGTTTTTAAAGTAACATGTTGAATGAATGACCAGTGCTGAAGTGCTAAAATACAATCTGCAATCCTGTGCTGAGGCAATCCCTTAACAGGCTTCATGACATCTCCTACTCGCACTGTTATCCAGACATTCCAGCTAGATAATTTGCTACAAAACCCAGTGTAAAAAGGATGGCAGAGGCAACATACAGAGCATTAGTGCCAGTCAGATATCTACAGATCTTAATCCTTTTCACTAAGACGACAGATAGTGAGGATTCCTGAAAAAAAAACCTGAAATCCCCAGGAAAAGGAAAAAGAAAACACGGCTGAAGCACATATACACTCTTTGTGCGGTCAAAATTATCTGAAACCACAGTTTTAACCATGCGGCAGAAGCATCCCATTTATTCCCTTTATTCCCTCCAAAAAAAAAAAAAAAAAAAAAATAAAAAAGAGCAGAAGCATCCCACCATTCATTTATTCCCTTTATTCCCTCCAAAAAATTAAAAAAAAAAAAGAAGAAAAAAGAGAAAAACCAAGCAGACGTGGTGTGAGTGTACAGTATCAGGTACTAGTGCTAGAGGGAGATGGAGAGCGATAGGAGCCCCTGCAGGACTGATCCCACTGGTTCAGAAGCCTGGGCTCCCCTGTCTGAAGAGGAAAGGAGGGCAGGAGCTCAAGGAACGCTGACAGCTAAATGCAAGGCATAAGCAGCTGCACAGAATGGGACAGCTTCTTTCTGTCTCAGGATATTACTGTCACAATGGCCAAGAGAGCGGTGAGCTGCAGCTTGCTCTTCTCACTGTGGTACTTCAAAAAGTACCTGATTTGAGGAGCACTGGACAAATGGCACATCACACTGAGCTAAATAGGTAAGATTTCAATGACAAGAGGCAGCAGGTTTTGCTGTTGTAAGGAGAGTGAATTTTTCTGATGGTACCAATGGGCACGAGTGGAAGGTCAGCCTGGAGGGCTGGCAGTGTCACCCGGGTGCCTGGTGGCAGATGGTGCCAGTCTGCAGGGATAAAAGGAAGGCTGATGCACACCGTGGGCTGACAGCAGTGTTATTTGCTCAGGAATAAAGGGGCAGGTGCAGGCAGGACAAATTAACAGGGATGCTGAGCCCCCAGCATTCATGTGTGCCCCAGCCCAGGGGCTGGAGGGGTGGATAAACTGGGAGATGCTGCAGGAAATGCAGTGGGGCTCAGAGCTGCCAGGGGGGGATGCTGCAGGTGCTGCTGCCTGAGGGCTGTGGCTGGGACACAGCCCAAGCCAATCTCTGCATGGTCCCAGGAGAGCTTTGGAGCTGCCTCTCCCTACGGACATCCAGGCTGAACACTGAAATGGCCACCTGGACCCTGGATCTCCCTCCAGCAGTGCCTTGCTTGTGCTGCTCGTGTTCCCATTTCTGGACTTATGCAATGGCTGGAGGGCAGAGGCAGCCTGTGGGAAGTGGAGCAGTGGGAGATGCAGGCACCTCCCATGGGGCAGAACCCATGGGCTTCCCTGAAGTGTCCCCAAGTAGAAAACTGGCCACCTCACTGCTCCTGCCTCCCACAACGTAATTATCCCAGCACGACCAACGTGACAAATTAACAAGGGAGCTAGGGCTTTTGCAGTCACAGAGAATGCTTTTCCCCAAGAATAAATTGTTCAAATCCTTTATGGTAGACAACTAGCTATGCCTGTTCATTAACTGGACAAGCTGTGGTGACAACTGAAATGACCTGACTTTCTACATATTGAAGGGAGAGCAATCTTTGCAAGCTTAAAATAAAGCTCTAAATCCCAGCCAGCACAGAGGCTCCCTGAACGGGGCTTTTTTTTTCTTAAAAAAAAAAAATAAAATTTTCAGAGCACAGACACAGTAAAGCTCATTTTAAAAGCACAGACACTTTACTGTTATCCCTCCCTTTGCAGACCCAGAACTGTGACACCAGAACATGACAATTCCATCCACAACCCACAAGCCCTTCAGGATCTGCATATCAGCCAAGTTTAAGAACTTCAAGAGATATGAAATTCTGGGATGATCGCAATGTTGCAAATAATTATCACAATCAGGTACACTGGGAATTATACGCATTTCCTTTATCAGTACACCGTATTGTCTACTGCAACCAATGAATGATAATTAAGACACAGGTATTGGAATTAAGGGGGAGAGGGAAATTACGAGAGTCGATTTCTGTCACAACCCACTCACAGTACATCATTCACGGATTTTTCAGCTACAGTTCTGACCTGGGTTTAACTGTTCCTCTTACCCCTTAATAAGGGGACACCTGGGAACCCCGTACGGTGCCTCCCCCGCTCCCTTGCCCTTTCTGTGCTCGCTGCATACCTGAAATGCAGACGATGAAATTCGCTTGCAGAAGAAAAAGCACCTCCCAAACAATTTCCATCCTCCGATTCTCATGCCAAGTGCATCCCTCGGCGAAAAAAAATAACAAAGATCAATATCGCAGTTTGAACGATCCCAGCAAATTTCCTTTCGGACTTGCAGACTGTATTCCCCAGATGTGCTGACAACACATGTCCGAGCTCTCTCTCCGCACGGCTCAAGTGAGATCCCTTCCCTTCCTTCGCCCTCCAAAAAAGACCACGAAGCCAACTGCCAACACCGGGCTCTTCCTCCTCGAGCGAGAAAAAACTCCACCAGATTTCCCAACACGACATAGACTACAAACCCCAACCGATCCGATATCCGGCGAGTCTCTATTCCAGGGACGGCCAGGCGCAAATTAACCCCAAAACTCTCTGCACGTCTCAGCGGGGCAGTGCCGGCATGCCGGGCAAGGAGGCGGCGGAGCGAGGGGGATTCCCCTCCTGTTGCTGCTGCTGCTGCTGCTGCTACGGAATGAGTGGAAAGAGATTAATACCGGCGGCAAGCCCCTCCATCCCCGCGGCGCTCGGAGCGCGCAGCCCCGGCTCCCGGCCCCGCCGCAATCCCGGCGCGCCGCGGCGGCTCCGCCGCGCGACTGCAGGGGTCGGGCTTGCCCCGCGCACCGAGCGCCCTGCCCGGGATGCGCCCCCGCAGCCCCCCGCCAGTGGGAACGGGGCTGGATGGCAGCGGAGGAGGGTGTCAGTGCGTGTGGGTGTCAGTGCGTGTGGGGGTGTGTGTGTCCCCCAATGCGAACGGCACAAGTGCGGAGTCCGCATCAAGCGCGGCTTGTGCGCATCGTCCGGCGGCTTGGCTGAGGATGCCAGTATTTTAAAAACTTATTTAAACAAGAAGGAAAAGAGATTCAGACCCGAACTTCTGTCGGGTTGGTGGCGGAAGGGCACCGGGAGGCTCCAGCCGGGAGTTAGCGAAGTGCCCGTGCTGCAGTGCATATCTGATAGCATTCCCCGGGTACAACAGTTCTGCATATCTTCCCCTCCCTCCTCCCCGGCCAAAAAAAGAAAAAAAAAAAAAAAGAAAAAAAGAGAAGCAGCACCAGTTTTTTGGGCAATCCCTCACTTACCCCAAATATCCTCCTGGTTTTTATCTCTCCCACCTCACCGGACGTGCCGGTCCAGCCTGCAGTCCCAAAAACAAATCGAGGTCAAGCTGCGAGCCGCCACCGCCTATCTCCACCTCAGCTGCCGGGAGGTACCATAGCTGCTCGGAGCTCCCCCTGCTCCCCGGAGCACGGCTACTCCGCCATGTCCCCGGGTGCAGCCGGTGCTGCGGGGGCCGCGAGCGGCAGCGGCGGGCACGGCGGGGCTGGGCGGCGGC